CTCCACGTTTTTCATTTTCAATTTCATAGATTGTTTATAATGACTTTTGCTAAAATTTCAAAATCAAAAGTTATCAAAACAAATTCTATGGGACTGAGAAGTATTATTGTATGTTGTATATTAAAAAGTTTTTTTTTATATTATTTATTCTTCTAAGAGTTTCTTGGAACTTTCGCAAATATCAGCAGCACCAAATTTTTTTTTCAACGTGGTTGACAGCCGAAAAAGGCTTTTCCCTTTTTCGAACATCGAATCAGCCAAACTTCAAACAGCTCGCATTTGTGATAGCATGATAGCCCAGAAAAACCCGTTTTTCTGGAAAACGGCTAAAAGCGTCGGGTTAAATAATATAAAAGCAACTCATTACATCTTAATTTATCCATTTCCGTTTTCATTTTGTTTGCCGAAACCTCAGATACGCGGTTTTGCATTTCTTTTTGGTTGTTTGTGTTTCCGGCAGGATAGGAGCATGATGTATTGTGGAACGATTTTCCGTCATCCCTTGTCAAATTTGGTTTGGAGACATTTTGCATTTTGTTGATACGCGGTTTTGTTCTTTAAACGACGATTTACGTAAACGCGCAAGTATCATTCGATTGGGAATAATTTTCTCCTAGTTTTCTAAATCCCATTGAACTATTGTAACTTTGTTTTTAATATTTGGTAGAAGGACAAATTTATGTGAAAATTTTTAAGAGTTTTGCACAAAGTTTTGGAGCTTTGATTTTTATGGGTTTCGCTAAAGACTGTCATATCTACATATATACATAAAATGATAGCCATTTCCGTTGTTCGGACTAAACTCAAAAACCCCTAAATAGAGTTCCGTCAAATTGTCGAAGGTTATACCTTTCATAAGATCTGCTTCATTTGAAATCTGGCAGCACTCTACATAGCACCACTTTGTTATCGATCACGCGATCAGCTGTTTATTTAGGCTGCGTTTCTTTATACATTCCGGATAATCCCATCTCACAGCCGGAATAAACAGAATGCGTTTGAGATATACGTCAACATATCATCAGGAACGTTCTAAAGAATAAATAAACAAAAAAGTTTATTCCAAACGTTCAGAATGAATAAAGAAATGCAGCCTTAGTGTGCTGATTTTGCTATAGTTGTTTTTTATTACAGTTAATTTTCATTTGCGTAACTTTAAAAATAAGTGATGTAGAGAGCAAAGAACTTCAGCAAAGAAAATTGATTCTGGCCAAATTCATGCAAAATCCACACATCTCCCAATATCGGTTAGTAAAATTGCTGAAAATTGAAAGGTCGACGGTACAAAATGTATTGTCAAATATCAAGAAAAATGGCAGCATCGAGAGAAAGGTGGAGTCTGGCGGAAAATCAGGTACTATAAATAAATTAGTGGAGAAGGATGTTCTAAGGACTCTGAACGTGTTGTTGCACCTGGAGTGTTGTTCTGAGAGCCTTATTGTTTTGGCCTAATTTGGCAACAAGACATTGTGCAAAAAAAAAGCGCAAGAGTTTTATACACAAAATGGAATCAACATTGTACTAAAAAAGGCTTATCCTCCGGATTGCCCAGAGCTGCAAACGAACGAGCGTTATTGGGCCTATATTAAATCAAAATTGAAAAAAAAACACACAAAATGGCGAAAACAGGCCCAATCGATCAACGAAAGGGATGTCCAAGTATTAATGGCGGGTGTCATCTCTAAAGTACGGGTATTTTGGCGTGGAAATTAATTCTATTAATATTTGTAAATCTTTCATTTAAATAGAAATAAAAGGAATTAATAATAAATTTAAATTAGTTTTTTTTTCAGGGACCGTAAATAACAGTTACTTTTTTCACCAGCTAAACTTGGCCAGATATTATTAAGTCGAAAATAAAAGTCCTTTCCTAATATTTAATAAGCAAACCGCTTAT